TTCATGCTGCGTATGATATCCACTCATGCTGGTGAACTGATGAGCAGTGAATTAATTCTGGCGCTTTGGCAAGACTTTAACAATGTGGATCGTTCGCCGACGCAGTTTTGGGATGCCGAACACGGCCAAGGCACCCTCGATTAGGAGTTCTTGAAAGGCCACAAACTTTTTGGTCTTTCCCTCCTCTTTCCTTCCCTTCCACACTTCATATGCAGTGATCTCTAGGAATTTGTGGGTCATGAGGGCTCACGAATCTCTTGTATCATCTAAAAATACATGTACTATGACATGTTTATACACGACGTTCTTTCCCAAACTGCCGATTTGTAAGTGTGAATGTTGGGTGCTGCATGATGATGATGCCAAAATTCGATGCTTTCCCCCCTAAATTACGCTTGCCGGTTCAACGCAAAATCAAAGGTCATTTTTCCTTAACATTTCACGCCTCAATACGGTACTTGCCATTTACATTGAATCTCTCCATTTACAGAGCTTTGTTATTAACCTACATTATATGTGATCATCGTTTCTGTTGTATATTACGTGTTATTTTGCTTAAATTTCTGTATTAGGACATCGAGTTTAGACATTATTCATCGTATACACGGCGGTGTGTGTAATGTATATTTTACCTCATTGGTTGAAATATGCCTCACTTCTGCCGTCATACTTCCCTATACTCCTGGAGTACATTTCCTTAAATTTAATACATGGCTCGCTTACAGTGTCATAATCCCTCGCCTCTATAGACGGCAAATCCCATTTCTTTGCGTTTCTCAATATGTGCGGAAATACTGGAATAGGCTTAAAGAATAGAACTACCTTCCGATGAGCAGTTTTGTTACTGTTTTGAAATAAATCTTGATAACTTTTGCGAGCAGCAGAGTATGCAATTTCAAAGATGAATAAAGTTGATTTGACAGCCGCATAACTTTGAATTTATAGTCGTTGTTTGCATGTAAGGCATTGTGTGCAAAATAATGTAGCACTAAAGAAAGCTTGATAATTACCTTGCCTAAAAATTTTCCTTTTTTTTTTGCAACTGCTTTGGAATAATAGTAAAGCAGCTACAAATTTGGCACATCTCACTTCTTCGTAACTTCTGTAATACTAACTTGGATGTTTTTTGTTTAGCAGTCAGATCCTAAAGAAGTCTCTAATTCATTTAAACATAAGTAGTAAATATGGAAAACCCAGAAAGGCACAATAAAACTCTGGTCAAAACAAGCGCACCTCCTTTTTCCCCTCAATTCTATCCTTAATTTCCATCATTTTTTACGAGCATGGGAGGATGGAATGACAGGACAAAGGGAGCGCGTCATTGCTCCTTCTATGCAGAAGTGCGTCTGACGTCTTGTTATAATTGAGCTTGGCCATTTTGATAAATGATGTGGTTGCTTATTGCTATCTGGCTGATATAAATAGGAATTTCTAAGCCCTTCGTAAGAAGGTGGTAGGGCTTAGAGAAACCGGCACATGATCAAGCTGAATCTAAGTTTATCACCGCCTTGTGAAGATAAGGAGCAATCCCAGCTTCAGTGCTCGTCCCGTACTATTTGCAAAATTCTAAATGAAAGACAAAACTTCCAAGAAGATGAGCTAGTACTTGAAACTCAGCGAAGCTGATCATCTCGCTTTTGCGAGAAGGAAATAGGCAAGTGACCTACAAGGTGATACAGACAAAAATTCTGTGATACAGAATAGCGCACAAATGTCAGAAAAATAGCGGCGGACTAAAGCACCTAAAAGTTATTCAATTCAAGGTCCTTTTAATCTTTAAAATTCCCAACAAAGTAGATTGGTGAGGCACACCGCTAACGCCAAACAACAAT